TCTTTATTCTGAATTAAGAATCAGAAGAGCTCTCACTTGGGTCCTCTGAAATAGGAGCTTTCTTGCTGACCTCAGAATCCGATCCTGCTTTGGCTTCTTAATCCAGACTTTGTCTGAGGTGTCTGCTGATGTGCACGCTCCACACACCCCCGTGTGCACACAGCAGCCAGGACTCCTGTGATGCTGTGGTCGGCTGGGCTCAGCCCAAGGTCCCTGTGCTCCATGTCAGGTCAGAAGGTCGCTCGTGGCTGATGGGCAGCCACGCCGGGAGGTCCAGGGAGGCCTCCCTCATGTGTCCCTGTGGCCTTGCTGCATGGCAGCCAGGCTTTCTCCCAACCTGGTGGTCTCAGAGCCAAGGGACTCATCACTGGTGATGCTGTCTCCTGGTCAGAGCAAGTCCCGGGTCAGCGGGGACTCAAGGGGAGGGGGTGTCTTCTCCCTCTTGTCCTCTCACGGGTCAGGTGTGTGCACACACGGGCAGGGCTCCACCATCGACAGCTGGCACGAAGTTGTCAATATCTTTCTTACCGTGATGTTCCGACGGCCCCAGGCCTACACCCACTGCTGCTCGCACTGTCTTTATTCCACATTTTTCTTTTTTCTCCATCTCCAGTCACCTTAACTGGGTATGAGAAGCAGCCCAGGGTGGCTCGTGCTCACAAGAGAGCAGCCATCCATGCACTGTGCCTCCCCGCCCAATGCAAGGCTCCGGGAGCTGGTGGCAGTCACCACTCTGGGTCTCAAATCTCCAGGGGCCTGTTCCCTTGGGGACACTTGTCACTGTCTGTTCCTGGAACACGTAGTGGCCTCGCTTTCTTGTCCTAAGACCCTCTTTGGATAAGTGTAAGCGACCCCTCCCCATCGGGAGCTTGGCCAGTGCACAGACACCCCCAAGTCCCCCAGGATACACTCCGTGTATGAGGGAAGAGGAGACAATAAAGTCACCCCAGAAAGGGGGGGAGGGAGAAGGAAAAGGGGAGAGATTGGATAAGGGGCATAAAGAATAAGTATGATTTGTAATAATGAATATGCTAATAAAAACTAAATTAAAAAAAATAAAGTCACCCTAGAAACCAGACTGAGCACCTGGGCTTTGGTGTGGACCTGCCTTGGAGATGCGTGTTCCTCATGTGCCCGGTGAGGCTGCCGCCTTCCCTGAAGGTCTCACCCCTGCTCTGGACGGCGCCCTGTGGGGTGGGGGGCCATGTCCCTGGATCGGCAGGAGAGAGGGCACAACCTGCAGGGTTCTCAGTTAAAACAGAGTTTTAAGAAATACACTCTGCAGAGGAGAATTATGTGCGTTCCATTTCTGGCTAAAACCCCAAGCATGTGATTCATAGTCTCTGAAATGGAAAGGCGTCAGCCCAACGTTCCTGTTCCTCTTTGACTTTTCCCTGCGGGGATTGGGGGAAGGTGCTGACCGGGACTCACTTTCCCCCAAGGTCTGCTACCTTCTAAATCCCTGAACAGTTGTCATCACCCTTCAAGTTTCCCTCATGTTTTTCTTATTTAAAATTGTCTCCTTTTAGGAGGACAGATTTGTGAGAAGTTACCGAGGGCCGGGTGGCGGGCCGCGCCTGCACGCCAGGCTGGCGCTGTGCTGCGACACGTCATCACTGCTCTCCAAGGAGCGTGCTGAGCGCTCGGCAGAGGCTGTGCTGCCAGCGCACACCGACTCTGCAGTCTCCGTGCTTTATAGGGTGCGATGTGGTTGTCCTCACCACCACCGTTAACGACCTGGTTTTATGTCGTGAGGTTTTTTCCAGCTTTAGTGCAAACAAAAATAAAGCTTTGTCCCCAGGTTTGCAGGAGCAGGGAGGCCGTGGGACCCTCCCGGCACTGTGGCTGGTGGGGCACATTGGGGCCTATGCCTAGGGGGTCAGTGCACAGAGCAGGCACCACTGGACAGGCAGGTCATCAATCCACAGAAGGGGCCGGGCCCGTCATCTAGAGGTGCTCACCCTCGGGAACAGAACCTTCCTGCAGGGAGTTCCCGCTGCTGCCACCACACTAACGCTGCAGCAACTGCGTTTCTTCTCATTCTACCCGGCGCAGTGAAGCCCACGAGGGTCGAGGGGTGCAGGGCCTCACTTCAGAGCCCCCCACCCCCTTCCCCATTGGACTCCCACAGAGCCAGCCGTGCCCCCAGCCTCCCTGCCCCTGCCCTGCGGAGCTCACCTGGGCCTCACGTTGGCACCAGCACGTGGGTGTGAGTTTCTTCACAGCACTCACTGTGCAGGTGATGAGCATGCGAGATCCAAGGCAGATGACCTGCAGTGGCCCCTCCCAATTGTTAAACTGGGGTTATGCTCTTCCCCTTCTCAAAAACCTTATGTGCCCCCCATAGCGCAGCACCCGAGTCCCCACAAAATGGCTGTGGCTGCTTCCTCCCTAGGGAACACCCCTTCGGGGGCCAGAGGCTGCACCATCCATGTGGGGGTGTTGCCCTGTTGTGTCTCACAGTCTCTCCAAAGCCCAGTGGCTGCCGTGCCTCCCTCCCGGGATGTCAGAATTACTCAAATTACTCAAATCCAAGGGGAAAAACCCTTTTCCCAGTGATGTGGAATTAGAGGCAGTGACTCCTAGAATCTGCCCCTACCCTAGGAACAGGCAGCTGAGCTCAAGAAGACGAGCGGTGGCAGCCATGTCAGGCCGCAACGGGGCGCCTAGCCAGGCCACCCTGGGCCAGTCCTGAGCTGCATGCAGACAAGCTGGTTTTGCTTTCTGGGCCTGTGAGGCGGAGGACGGGGCTGGAGGAAAGTGAAGGAGGCGCCCTGAGGCAGGCAGACCCAGGACATGCAGTCAGCTGGACGTGTCCATTCTGCTCAGACCAGACCATTCATTTCTGTGAAAACACTGGGTCGATGCAGAGCCGCCTACTCCAAGGGCCTCCCCTCTGCAGAGCTGGGTGTGGGCGCCGGAGCTGCTCGCTGCAGCACAACCAAGTAGTTCGGCTTCTCTCCCCACCCCAAGCCAGCCAGCGGGCTGTTTATTTTTCTTACTTTCATACGGATCATACAAGCAGCAAGGGCTACCCTTCAGGAGGCCTCATGTGAGGCCCAGGAGGTGCGGTGGCAGCAGCATGGCCAAGGCACACACCTCACAAGGACGTGCAGTGGGACCCTTCCTCCCCCAGCATGTCGTTCCCTCCCTCCCTCCATCTACTCAGTGTCACCTGGTGCTGTCTGAGGGGGGGAAAGCCCCAACACTCACGGCCCCAAGTGGCTTTTCCAGAACGGCCCTGCAGTGTAGACCCTTCTGCACATAGACTGCAGAGCCTTGTGCTCATCACCCCTCGGCCTGGGAAGGGCCCAGGGAGGCATGGCCAGCAGCCAGAGGACCCTGCAGGGTGGGCCAGCCATGTGCCTACTCATCTTGTGCAGGTGCCAGGCAGCTCCAGCTGACTTTTAGGGTAGCCCGGGCACCCCACGGCCTGTGCGGCTGGAGGACTCTGAGCCCAGGATGTAGCCGGATGATGCACCAGCTCTAGGCTCGAGTGTGTCCCTCAGATGTAGCCCCCAGATGCAATCACATGCACTCTTATTCCTGCAGACCTGCCCTAGAGCACTGCCCAGGCATAGACCCGCATCCACATTCCTGCCATCTGGAGGCTGGCCCCAACCTTCATGTGACCACTTCTGACCCTGGGAGTCTCCAGGGCCTCGGAGCCTGACCTGGGATGCATCTGGCCCCCGCCTAGGGTCTGTGTGGGCTGAGGGCTGAGGGCTGAGGGCTTGTTCGTTTTTTTCCCCCGAGCGGTGCTTCTGGATCACATGGCTGATGCTCCGCAGATGCGTAGACCCAGCCTCGGCCTGCAGACTGACGGTGAAGGTGCTCTGCGGGGAAGGGGCCTGGCCGGCATCTCTCCTGAACCATCATGGCCTCAGAGTGGCCTGAAGACATAGGGGGAGCCCCAGCCACGGGAACAGCGGGCAACTCCTGACCCCAGCGGCTCCCCCACCGCCATGGCCGCCAAGCCTCCAACCCTGAGGTGTGCCCGGCACCTCCCTCTGCAAAGCCAGGGACAGTGGGCAGCGACCCTTCACCACAGGCACTCCTACCAGCCACCGCCAGTTGCCCACAGCTGCGCTCCTGACTGAGACTGGATCCTAGAAATGCATCTCAGGGTCTCGTGGGACATGGGTCTCTGAGGAGACATTGCGTGGATGGCCATGTGCCTCTGCGGGTGTTCTTCCAGATGCCCATGTCAGAGAACCATCTGCAGAGCTGGGTCTGAATCTCAGGGCAGGGCAGGCTCCCGGCCTTCCTCCCGAGGGGGCTGCTGAGCAGGACCATGGCTGGGGAGCTCCTCAGGACCCCACATCACTGTGCCTGGGGGGATCTGAGGTCTCCGCCACCAGGTGTGGAGCAAGGAACCCCCTCATCTGGGCCTGCTCTGTGTCCTTCTGGCTATAATGGAGTGACCCTGGTCCCCACCCTGGCTCCCTGTGCTCAAGCCTCTGCCCATCAGGAGACCGTCACGGCCCCATGGGAGTATCCCTGAGGAAGGAAAGGGGACCCGGGTGCAGAGCAATGAGGGTGCTGGGGTCCTCTGGCCCAGGACATGGGGGTGCAGCAGGCTGGGCTGTTGGCACTGTGCAAACTCAGTCTGGGTTCCTGCTGCCCAGACAGAGCAGGAGGGGCGGGTCCTGGGTCTGAGAGGCTGCCTGCTGGACCCCGACTCTGCCCGGCCCTGCAAGCATCAGGCAGCATGTTCCAAGACTGCTGTGTCTTGATTTAGGCACAACTGGTTTAGAGATGTGTGTCTCCGTGAATTGGGGTGTGTACTTTTTCCTTTTGAATGTGAATATTTTAAAACAAAGATGAGAACTTCCTTTTGTTTCAAAAACTAGCTTCCCCAAAAAGCCCCCTGGCCCTTCTCAGATTGGCCGGTGGGCTCCGCATGTGTGGGGGGCAGGGCTGAGGTCTGGAGGTGCCCACCCCAAAGACCCAAGCCAGCTGCTCGGCTCCATGCACTCACGGCCTCCTCCTGCCTGCAGACGCAGCCGGTGCCCAACCCCATGGCCTATTACCTGCACAGGTCGCCCTGGTGGTTCCACCGCTTCGAGACGTTCAGCAACCACTTTCTCGAGCTCCTGGTGCCCTTCTTCCTCTTCCTGGGACGAAGGATGTGCATCCTGCACGGCGTGCTGCAGATCCTGTTCCAGGTGAGCCAGGCCACTACCCCACGACCTGGGGCGCCCTGCTGCCCCCGTGTCCCATGTCCCCCACCCTGTCCCCTGTGTCCTGTGCCCCTGCCCCGTCCCTTGTGTCCTGTGCCCCATTCCCTGCTGTTCCCCATGTCCTGTGCCCCAACCCTGTCCCCCTGTGTCTGCAGAAGGTGCCAACCCATCTCACTGTGTCTCTGGTAACCCATGTTGAGGAGGACTCTGGGGGTGTCGCAGGCCCTGCCCCAGCCTGCGTTAGCATCAGGACCTCTGGGAAGAGGGCTCACCAGCTTCTCTTCACCCCTCACAGGAGCCCCACAGGGTCCCCATGGCATCCCCCCTTGCAGGCTGGATGCCAATGGTCTCCTACCCCACTCCCTCTGTGCCCCAGGCAGGGTCTGGCTCCTCCTGGGAGCACACATCCTGGCCAGCGAGCAGCAGCGGCTGGGTCTGTGGTTCTGCAGCAGGCTGGGCTAGGTGTGTGGTCCCCCATTGTTGGGACCCAATCCTAAAACTTCTGAAGTTCTAGGGAGTTCCTTTCATGCATCAGATGTCAGTCCACCAGGAATCGGGGTTCTGAGAGAGGCCAGTTCCATTTTTTTTTTCCACATGGATGAGTGTCTGAGCCCGTGGGATTTAAACATTTTCTGTCTTATTTATTGTGTATTTTTGTGTGTGTGTGTCCTTTTTGAGACCGGCCGCACCGCGCCCAGCCAGTGAGTGCTGTGAGTGCACCGGTCATCCCTATATAGGATCCGAACCCACGGCGGGAGCGCTGCTGTGCTCCCAGTGCCGCACTCTCCCAAGTGAGCCACGGGCTCGGCCCTTTATTGTGCATTTTTATTGAGATATTGCTTACCTCCAGTGAAATGCACAGCTCTTAGGTGTGTGTTTGACGTGTTCTTGCAAATGAACACACCTGAGCCCACACCTCGTCAGATGGGGAGGTCCCCACACCCCTGCCCTTGGTTCCCGAGTCTACCAGCCCAACCTTGTGTCCAGGGCGCTGGGTGTTCTCTGTGGAGGCGAGCCTCCTTCCCCAGCACCATGGCGTGTGTGTTTGCCCTTGGTTGACCGAGCACCGTGCCAGTCCACAGATGCCCTGCAGCTGGGCTGTCCATTCTTCCATCCGTGGGCTTTCAGGTTGCATTTTGCCATAGCCAGCTGTGAACACTGGCACACTCATCTCTCTGTGACATGCTTCCCAGGGCATTGCTGTCCTACGGGCAAACATACTGCCCATTTTCCAAAGACGCTGCTCTGCTCCACTCCCCACCTCCCACAAGGCCTGGGAGCTCCGGTGGCTCCTCGCTGACAGCTGGCTGTGGCAGGTCTCCCCTGTCAGCCGGCCGTGCGTCAGCAGGGGCGTCTCGAGGTGTTTCAGTTTTCCTGACGGCCAACCGTGTTGCAGTAAACCTGACTGGGTAGGACTGACATATACAGAATTGTCCTCCTGTCCAGGACCACGAACCCACTGCTCCGAGCCTTCAGGTCTCCCCCAGCACCTTCAGCAGTCGGCCCTCCACATCCGTGCGTGTAACTGCCTTTCTGTCCTTTTTAGCTTTGAGTTTATTCTCATTCTGTCGTTTTCTGTCTTCTAGTTAGTAAGTTACACACTCTATTTCTCTCACGGGTTATTTGCTCACTTAATGAACTGGGGTCTCAGTGTAGTCTGCACCGTTGCCACCGTGACTCGGGGCCTTAGAATGTGTGACCCAGCTCTGTCCCCAATCAGTTCACCTGCTTTTGTTGTTCCAATATCTTAGGGCTGTTTTGTTTTGTTTTTTAATTAACAGACTTCTTTTAGAACAGTTTTAGTTGACAGAAAAATTGTGCAGAGACCACAGAGGGTTCCCGTGTGTTCCTCCGTGCCCCCTCACCCCCCGACACACACACAGTTCCCCTTCATGAGCACCTTGCACTGGAGTGTTACATTGTTACAGCTGATGAGCCAATGTGGACGCATTACTATTAACTAAAGCCCACAGTTGACACTGGGGTTCACTCTTGGTGCTGTACATTCTGTGATTTTGACAAATGTGTAACGACATGTGTCCACCACTACAGGATCATACAGAGAAATTCCACTGCCCAAAAAATCCTTTGCACTCCGCCTCTTCATCCCTGTACCCCAACCCCCGGCAACCACCGATCTTTTTACCATCTCCCTAGCTCTGCCTTTTCCAGATCATAAACCTGGAGTCATACAGTACACAGGCTTTCAGACTGGCTTCTCTCAGTAAGATGCATTTAAGGTTCCTGCACGTCTTCTCACGGCTTGGTTGCTCATTCTTTTCATTGCTGAATCGTTGTGTGGATGCTCCAAAGTTTACTTGTCCATTCACCTACTGAAGAGTTGCAGACAGAGCCACCAGGCCACACGAGCTTCCTGCATGGGGCACTGTTGGTAACTTTGCCGAGACGCAGGCATGCTGCGACCAGCGCCCCGCAGGCTCCGCAGACACCAGGGAGGGGGTGTCCAGCCTGGAAGGATGGGTCTGTTCCAAAACTCCTAACCTGGACGGGGCAAGGTGGGTGGGGGTTCCTTGGGAACAAAACCCAGGTTGATAGCAAGGGTCTCCTCACATTGGCACAGCTCAGTAGCTGCCTCAGGGCCTCTTATGTGAAGCATCTCACCCGCCCCACACACCAGTGGATCCTGAGCCACCTTCAGCCCTGTGGTCCCAGCCAGCAAGAGGAGGCACTGGGCAGAGGATCAAACCCCCTGAGAAGCATCTGCCATCGTGGGGTCCATCGCCTGCCAAAGTATCCTGGCCAACGGCTCCCAACTGCCCCTGCAGGTGGAGAACGTGGAACCATCCACACCAGGCTCTGGGCCCCAGTGCCCAAGGCAGCTGGACACCACCGGATGACCAGCATGGCAAGGAACGCGGATCTGCAAGGGCTTCACGGCTCGCAGTGACTGAGCCGTGCTCCCTGGGCTGGGAGGTGCGGACGAGGCTGCTTCGCTGCTGGTGCTGCACTTCAGCCAGCCTGTGCCTCTGTGGCCATGAGCCACTGGCCGGTGGGGACCCTCTGTGCCCCTCGGGCTGTGCTGAGCTGGCTCTGGGAGACGCTAATGAAAAGCAAACTGCTGTGTGGCTTGAAAGAGTAAGTGAAAGAGGCGTGAGACAGTTGTGCTGCAGGAAAGGGCTCAGCCACCTGAGCATGGAACCAGGAGGAGCAGCTTCAACCTTTGAACTTTGTTTGATTGGAATGCGGTTGGCATAAGTCACACGGTGTGCCAGGAAGAGACTCCGGCAGCCACGCCCCGATGCGGAAGGCTGTCCTGTGGGCTCCATCTCCGGTGTCCACCCAGGTCTGGGGTCTGCTGCCTGCTGGACCTCCTGACCAGACTCCCTGAGATGGCGGTGGATGGGGTGATGCAGGAACACCAGGCAGGGGAGAGGACAGAGCTGGACCTCAAAGGGCCCTACCACCAACCCAAGACTCTGGATGTTATTCCAGACAACCCGGCCCCACCTTCCCTTCTTCAGGAGGTCCAGGCACGTCCCTGACGTACTCCTCTCCAGCCCCATGCCACATCCAGGACACGGCAGGAGAACCAGCGTTGGGGCCCTTCTCCAAGACCGGGTCTGGTGTCTCCCCCTCTGCAGAAAGGGCAAGTGGCTAGCTGCTGTGGCTGCGATGTCTCCTGCCCCTCCCACACAGCATGGGGCCCTGGGCTCAGGGAGGCGGGGATGGCCTTTTCTCCCCCAGGCCAGGTCCTCTTGGGCATTTGGGGGACAACATCACACGGGATTGAGAGAGGCCATGTGCTCTCTCAAACACAGGGTGCCTGACAGGGCCGCACTCTCATCTCTGGCCCTCCTCTGCTGGCCGAGCACCCGCATCCCGAGGCGTATCTCCAAGTGCAGCTCTCTCTCCGGAGCCCGCCCTGATTCCGCCTGTTCCTGTCTTCCTTCCTGTGGGACAGACTGTGCAGCTCACCTCCTCCCACGCTCGGTTTATACAGCTGCTCCGGAGGGTTCCGCAAGGCCACAGACCCACTGTCCACTTGGAGAGGCACACGTGAGAAGTGACAGAGTAGCGGCCGCCCCCGCCTGGCACTCACTCTGAAGGGAGACCCAGGAGAGGCAGCAGGGCTTGGCCTGGAGACTCAGCCCAGAGGCCAGCAGGGGTGGCAGGGTTGGCAGTGGCAGGGGTCAGGAGTTGGTCTTGGGAGAGGTGGGAGTTTGCGGACAACATCTGTGGCCCACTGAGGCCCCTGCCTGTGTTGGGCTGCCCAGCCCAGCCTGAGGGAGTGTCACCGGCCAGCCAGGGCTCTCCTTTCCTTTGGCTGCTGGGACCCCCCGCCCCTGCCCACCCCATCCCACACCATCAGCAGCACACACACCACTGTCCCCAGGGCTGGGCACCTGGACCCCTTCTTATTTTTTCTTGGCTGTGTTAAAGTGCACAAAACCTTAATTTACCATGTTGAGTGTACAGTCTAAGGGAATGAACTTCACGCACGGCATTGCGGGGCCACCACCTCCACCCAGTTCCAGAACTCTTCGTCTCCCAAAAGGAAGCCCCATGCCCATCAGACATCACTCCCCAGTGCCCGCCCCAGCCCTGGCTGGCCTCTGTCTCTGCGGATCTGCCCAGCCGGACACTTCCTGTAAATGGAATCACACAGCATGTACTCTTGTGTCTGGCCCCTTCCCTGAGCATGATGTTTCTGATGTTCATCCGTGTTGTAGCATGTGTTGGAATTCGGTTCCTTTTTAAGGCTGAATACTCCTCCATCATGTGGATACATCTAACTGTCCATTTGTCAGGTGTGTGGCAGTTGACCAGTGCGTTCCTGGACTTTGATGAGACTGATGTTAGATTCAGACTGGATTCCTATTCTCTATCTACTGCCAAGTTCTGCTTTTTTCTAATCCCAGCACAATATTGATTACAGTCCTGGGTTCATGGCCACCAGAAAGTCTACCTGGGAGCTCACAAGTGGCCTCTGTGGAAAGTCCCCCATGAGCACATGTGTCCTCTATGGAAAGTCCCCTGTGAGCGTGCACATGTCCTCTTGGAAAGGCCCCTGGGAGCACACGCATGTCCTCTGTAGAAAGTCACCTGGGAGCACACATGTGTCCTCTGGTAACTGGGAGCCCAGAGGGGATATCCTGAAATCCACCCTCTTCCTTTCGGGTCAAGTTGCATCAGCCCCAGAATATCTGCTCGGTGTCTCCTGGGCCGCAGATTCTACCACCTTGAGTTCATCTTCCTCTCCGTCCTCCGGGGCCTCTCCTCACCTCGCCTCCGCACAGCAGTATGGGGCCAGTGGCTCCAGTGTGGTCATCTGCAGCCTGCACTCAGGGCCATGACTCTACACTGAATCCCATTTTTCTTATTAAAAAAATACCCCACCAGATGGATGGAGGAGAAAAACCGGACCAGGCCGAACAGGGACATGCAGCCGGGCCACATGACATCCATGTGGGGCAGGCATTTCTGAGTCCTCAGGGTCCTGCAGCTTTATTAGAAACAGGATTTGCCCCCAAATCTGTGCCTATGGACCCTTGTTCACTGGGTCTGGGGTTCCCCACCTGGGCTCATGTTAGACTGACCCCAGGGGTCTTTGCAAATATGCTCGTGCAGGGCCCCATCCTGACCAACCAAGAAGATGCTGGTGGGGCCAGGCTGTGCTCGAAGCTCCCCAAGCAGTTTCGGCTCGTGGCTGGGCTGAGAGGCCCCCAGAGCAGCCAGCGCTGGGCCCCAGGCCATCTACCAGGACAGCCCCAAATGGGTCAGCTTGAGTGGGAGCATCGGCTGAGAATTTGTTGTGTGTTTCCACTGCTAAAAACACACAGACACACACGCTTGCACAAACACACACACATACACACGCACGTATATTTTAGAACTCTGCTTGCACAAGGAGAGAAGTGGACAGCAATGTGTCTGAATAAGCCATGAATCCACACTTCACAGAACGCTGTCCTAATTCATAACCAACCCAGCTGGCTCCCTGTGCAGACCCCTGGTCAGACATTCACATCTAGAATCTTCAAACTTCTCCCGGTTACTGGGGTTTGTGTTGTGCTGCATGATCTATCCTCCTGCTAATGCTGGGCTCGGCCACGCAACCCTGTGGCCAGCAGGATGTGACCAGAGCATCCCAAGGAGGACAGGCCTTAGAACTACTGGCCCAGGAAGGAAAAAGTTGACTCCACGGGCCCCAGGGCCCCAGAGCAGCGCCGACCTCAGGCTACACGGCTGTCACTCTTCCCATGACTGCTCACGCGCAGCTGTGACCACCCAGCACGCTGAGCTGTCACATGCCTCACAGATCCGTTCTCTCTCTCGCAACGTATTTCTGTAAGACCAACCTACGACAGTGACTGTTTTCTCTGGAGATTTGGTAGGACCACCTGGACGGGGCCTTGGGGGCAGGAGCTTGATCACTAATTCTGTTTAACAATTGCTAGTTACTTGTGTCTTTCGTCTTGCACCAACTTAGGGACTTCATGTTTTTTCCAGAAATGCATTTCTTTTGGCTAAGCGTGCAGATGCACTTCCACACTGAGCTTTAGAAAATCCTCCTTTCATCATTCGTGTTTCCCTGTGATTTTGCCTCTCTCGCTGGGAGCTGTTTGCTGATGCTCCTGAAGTTTGTCTCTGGACCCCTCTTCAGCAGCTGCAGGGCTCTGCTGTCTCCTCTGCCTGCCACTGTCACCATTCTGTCTCACTGAGCTCTGCTTCTCTCTCATTTCCCTTCATTTCAGTTTCTGGAACTGGGAGTAGGGGCGGGGGCTGCTGGTGGCTCCAACTCCAGCTCTGCCGTCCTTGTTTCCTGTTTCCTGAGGGACATCCCCCGGCAGACACGGTTTAACTGCCCTCCTCGACGGTCACCTCTCTGTCCTCTTCCTCATGCAGAACTTGTTTCTCTCCCTCCCATCTGGCACTCCAGCACTCCTTAGTCACTCTCATGTCTTTCTCTAATTCAGGAAAGTTTTGGCATTTATACAGGGCCACAGGTTGTGGGTAGCAGATCAGGTTGGGGGCAGCATGTGGGGTGGGTGGCATAAAATGCCAATGGCCTGTCCCATGGAAGGGCAAGCTGTAGAGGCACCTCTGGGCCTTTGTTTCCAGTGCCTTTGTTTCTCCTCAGCAGAGCTTGGGTTGTTCAGGTTGACTTGGTGCTGAGTTGGTGGGTCCACGCAGGGCCAGTTGAGTTGTGGTGGCTGTGGGGACGGCTGAGAGGCAGCATCAGGTGCTGAGTTCCCTTTGCTCCCAGAAGCAAGGATCCTGCATCCTGGGAGGCTCTACCCCCCTCACTGAGACTTGGGTGCCACCCCCAGGTGGTCCTCGTCATCAGTGGGAACCTGAGCTTCCTGAACTGGCTGACCATGGTGCCTAGCCTGGCCTGCTTCGATGACGCCGCTCTGGGATTCCTGTTTCCCTCCGGGCCAGGCAGCCTAAAGGATGAAGTTCTGAGAATGCAGAGGGAGGAAACCCAAGGGCACCGGCCCATGCCAACATACGGTAGGTAGGACGCGGCCCCGGCCAGCCCGGGTTACCCCGTGCCTAGCACCCCGTCATATATGTGTGCACAGGAGAGCTGGGCATCCCTCCAGGCAGGGATGGTGGGCTGGGTGGGAGGTGAGTCCATGCCCTCTGCTGCACAGGGACCATGCACTGTCCCTGGGAGCAGGGCACGGTGGCTTCAGGTCTCTTTTGCATCCCCAGGACCCAGGACAGCTGGCCCTTCATGAGCTACAGCCAGGCCCCTTACAAGGGCCACTGTCATGACTATCTCCACACCAGTCTCAGAAGAGGCTCTTGGCTTGGGAACAGGGTAGGGCACCTTCCAGACTCGGGGTGGGGAGCCAGCAGCCACACAGGCAGCCAGCCACCCCCTTGGCTTCTGTGAGACAGGCAGGCCGGACAGCGGCCACAGTCTCCCTAGGGGATGCAAAGCAGGGCAGCCCGGCCTGGAGAAACCTTGGTGACCCAGGCAGAAGCTTACACCCTTCCTCCCTCTCTCGGCCAGGCTGTGTGGTACGGCGGATGGTCAACCTCTCACTGGGCATCCTTGTGACCTGGCTCAGTGTCCCCGTCATCATCAACCTGCTGAGTTCCCAGCAGGTCATGAACGTCTCCTTCAACCCACTCAGAATCGTCAACACTTATGGGGCCTTTGGAAGGTATGAGGCTGGGCTTCTCGTTTCGGGTGCCTCCTGGACCCGGGTGTGGTCTCCCTTGCTCAGTGCGAGCACCATGTGGTGATCAGTGTCCCGAGGCCCTGAGAACAGACTCAGCCCTGACCAGCCTCACTGGGCACTCTTGTCCAGGGGTACTGGGGTCTGCTCTCCCATCCCTCTGGGTCCAGTGTGGCCCCATCGGGGGCATACGGGTTATGCCCACATGTCACCTGCCTCACTGCTCTTCCCGCAGCCTGGCACACAGCAGTAGCAGCAGGAGATCGGGGGGAGGCCACAACTGGGCTGCCCCATCACCAGGCAGAGCTGAGTGCATGAAGGTCTGGGGTGAAGCAGTGTGGCTCCCCACACAGGGTCAGGAAGGAGCCAGCAGTCCCCGCTGGGTGTGTGAAGGGCTGTCCTTGGTCCTGACCCCATGAAGTGGGTACTCAAGGGTCAGGGGTCAGAACCCCAGATTGCCTGGTGGTATAGCCGTGCTCCCTTGACCCCTTCTGGGAGACCAGTGAGGAGGCCGGCACCTCCCACCCACCCAGAAGAGCAGGGAACTCCTGACCACAGCCAGGGCCTCGGTCCACCCACTGATGTGTCCAGAAGTGTCCACACCTGAAGGGGATCGGGAGGGGGCAGCCAGTCCTTGACTGGCCCTCGGCCATGGCTGCTGGGCAGGAGGCTGGGTGGGGCCCCAGGCTTCCTATAGTGCTCCCTGCACATGGGTGGTGTCCTGGGGTCCTGGTACCCTCCCTGCTCTGAGGCCAGTCCCAGTGTGTCCCTGCAGTCTCATGCCACTCTCACTGCAGAGCAGCCACTGGCTTTGGTTTCCCGGCCTCTGGTCCCTGCACAGTCTCCACTTCCCACGTGCCCACCCAAAGCCACTGAAGGGTGGTGGGGCATGTGCTGGCTGCAGGCTAGTGGAGGGGGTGCCCTCGTATCAGCCCACGAAGGGACCCAGGTGGCCCCAGCAGCAGGCGGAGTGACCCCTGCTGAGCACCCTCCCCCAATCCCTCCATGCACCACAGCCTGCCCAAAGGGTGAGAAGGGGGTTTCCTGCAGGGACAGGAGCCCAGGCGGCCCTCTGGGCCTCCTGCACCACCAGCCAAGAGGCAGGGGGTGTGTGCTGGACCCTCTAGAGGGCCGCACGGGTTGGGGGCAGGAGGGGCAGCTGGGAGCCCTCACCAGGCACCCCACTCAGCATACCCCAAGGAGTCTGGGGGAAGGTGGACACCCCCAGGACCACAGGAGAAGCACAGCTGGCACCCCACATGCAGTATGGACATGCAGTGAGCTCCCAGCCTGCCTCGGTCTCCCCACAGCATCACCAAGGAGCGGACGGAGGTGATCCTGCAGGGCACGGCCAGCCCCAATGCCAGTGCACCCAATGCTGTGTGGAAGGACTACGAGTTCAAGTGCAAGCCGGGCGACCCCAGCAGGCGGCCCTGCCTCATCTCCCCCTACCACTACCGCCTCGACTGGCTCATGTGGTTCGCAGCATTCCAGGTAAGGACCGTCTGCAATTCTTCACAGGGCAGCCTCCACCTACTACCTGAGCCCACACGCTCTCCTGACCTCCCCTCCTGTGGGCAGTCACTGCAGACAGAGGCCTCCGGTCACTGCAGCATCTCCAAGGCTGCAGCACCCTTGGTGGGGAACCCGCAGCCCCCAAAACACCCACCCTGGGGTCTGGTGGGGGAAGGCTAAGAAATCCCCAGTGCTGGGGGGCATGGCAGGGTACAGAACTCACTGCTGTAATCCTCCTGCTGAGGCCCTTGTGGTCCCAGCTTACCTGTCAGGAAGTGGGTCTTCTGGAAGGCTCCATCCAGGGCTAGCCCAGGGCGTGGCCAAGAGGCCCAGCACCTGCTCAGTGGCCACCTAGCAGAAGGGCTGGGGGCTCCCGGCAAAGGCGCTGGCTGGGCTGGCACAGGAGTGAGGGATGTACGGACATCAGCCTACAGGAGCCCCCACCCCCATACCTGAGCCAAAGAAGCAGGGCCTACTCCCCCCAGGGGAGCCCAAGTGCCCAAGTCAGGGAAAGCCTGAGCAGCCCAGGCCCAGCATGACTGACTGACTAACAGACAGAATGACAGCCGGCAGCGGGAGAGAGCGAGGGCACAGCTGGAGGGTCTGCGGAGGCTGTGCCTGGATGGGGCACCCGGTGCTGGCCTGCAGGGCACACTGCTGTCTCCACTCCAGGGCCTCGCCTGACACCCTGCCCTCTCCTCCTCCAGACCTATGAGCACCACGAATGGATCATCCACCTGGCGGGCAAGCTCCTAGCCAACGACCCCGAGGCCCTGTCCCTGCTCAGGCTCAACCCCTTCGCAGGCAGGGCTCCCCCTAGGTAAGACTCCCCTCCCAGTGTGGGATCTCCTCCATGGCTGACCTCTCAGGGCTTGTCCCCCAAATCCAAACGCCGGCCTGGGACCCAGCCACACCCCTGCAAACGTGCACAGGCCCCGGGCTCCCTCCACCTTTCCCCAACCCCGCTGCTAGAGGCCTGCAGCCTCCTCCCTCCCACAGAGGAGACACTGGCAGGGGCAGGGTGGGCCCCAGGCAGGTGCAGAGAACTGGGTGGGGCTTGTGGGGTGGGCGGGGGCCTTGCTGCAGGGCGGGGCCTGCGGGATGGGGAGGGGCTCTGCTGTGGAGGGTGGGGACTGCCCGGTTGTGACTGGGGACCGCAGTGAGCGCCTGAGGGCCCTGTGGCCTGTCCAACCCTGAGCAGCAACTCTGTGACACCCTAGGGAGGAGGGCGTGTGTGGTCAGGAACTGGCAGGAGCCAGAGTGGTGGGCGGTGGAGGTCCTGGGTGGCGGTGGGGTGGGGGGAAAGAAGGGGCTGACGTTCCCGGCTTTCCAGACTCCACACTGGGGATCTGGGGGCTCAGGAGGAGGCACGACAGGGGTCCCTGGGGCCGTACGCATGAGGAGTCCCGGACAGCCGGGGACTCGGGAGAGATGCAGGAGGGCCCTGAGTGTCGCTGCCCAAGGCTGGGGTTCTGGAAAGAGCAGGGGGCTGGAGAAGAGGAGGAGGCGTGGGGGATTCAGGGGCAGGGGCTGCAGGGCATGGATGGCAGTGCACCGGCCATGGGGGTGGGATGAGAGCAGGGATGACTGGAGACGCCCCAAGTGGCCTCCTGCTCAGACCCGGGGCTGGGGTGGATGCTCTGATGGACATTTGCAAGCCCTGCCCCCAGCATGTGGCTTAGAGTTGAGCAGCACCCAAAGATCATCTGCGTGCTGTCAGCCACTGCTCCTGACAGAAAACACACTCCTGTTTTCCCTCCAAGAAGCCTTGCTGAGAGCAGGACAGTGGGATAGCTGTGGCCCTGGGCCCACTCACAGCTGTCTGCAGTGGTGGCGGTGGTGGGGCGGGCAGTGAGGGACTTCAGAGGCAGCAGGGCAGCTGCGCCCAGGTCTCGCAGACCAAGCAGGATGCCCGTGAACAAACCATGAGCCCCTTCCCCAGCAATGCCATTCTGTAGAGGTGGAGAGGCCTGGGACTTGGGATGGGGGAGGGAGTCCCTTCTCATGGGCCAGGCCTCAGGCTATCCAAGGGAAAGCATCCATCCCAGAGCCCCTGCTGGCTCCAGTACTGAGCCCCAGCTCCCCATGGGCACACCATGGGCTCTGGCACCCAGTCTGGTGGGGTGACCACGCCTCCCACCAGGCACCCCCCTCAGGCAGGGCCACCTTTCTGGGAGCCAGCATGAAACCCCAGGTGACCTGCCTGTCCTGTGGCCCCCAGCAAACCTGGGTGTGGGCAGAGGCAGCTATACGTGGAGCCTGGACAGGTGCAGTCACTTTAGGCAGACATTCATCCCCAGGTTTGCTGGTGACCAGGCCTTTCTCTGGTCCTGGAGCTGTGTCCTTCAGGCTCGAAGCAGGTTCTCTCTGTTACTGTCCCCTGCCTCGGCAGCCCCAGGTGAAGGCTGGCATCTGAGACCTGGCCAGGCCCCAAAGTCTTGGTGTTTGTTCCTATCCCCTTCAGGGTAAAGCTTTCAGACAAGAGCCCCTCATCCCCAGCAGGAGCCCCTTGCCACCTTTAGAGTCCCTTCACACCCCCATGCTGGCCCAGCCCAGGCTGCTGCAGCCTGCTCAGCACCCAGGACTTCTGGAGCTGGCTCAGAGAAAGATCTATAGTCCTCAGGCCCAGGCTTTTTCTTGAAAGTGTATGGATCATCTGTTTTTCAGTCAGAGGTGTTGAAAAATAATCATGTCTGAGCCCTTTCAGGTGCACTTTGTGGATGCCAAAATCTTCCCTAACACAGCTGAATGTTGTGAAAATTGAGATGTGAAAACCAGTTAATGTTTTACTTGACTAGGTAATGAATTAATATTTGGGGGAAACATTTTAAACAACTGAAATATTTATAAATCACCACAGAGCACGTGTCCCTCTACCATGTCTTCCCTTTGTTTGGCAGCTGCAGTGGGGCTGCGTTGTAGCAGGGCATGAGCCTGACCATGGCCTGCATTTAGTTCATCTGTGACTTTTGAAAGTGAGTGAACAGAGACTTGCACTTCTGAGCAGATGGAGTAGATGATTTACCCTGTTCCTCCCATTCAGTACAACTAAAACCCCAGACATTACATGTAAAACAAACACAGGAAGACTCACCCTGAAGAGTGGAGAGAAGAAGCCTCTCCCACAAGGGACCCCAGGACCCAAGCAACCACACTGAAAAGGAGGGGAGCTTCTGGGTCTCTTTGTGCCTCATTTCCTATACTTGGAGATGAAAAGTCAGCAACTCAGCAATGCCAGCAGACATAGCCAACAGATGCCCCAACAAAAGCCTGGTCTCCCTAACCAAGGGACCAGAAAGAAGCAGCTTCACAAGACAGGAGCCTTACAGAAAATAATCGCTCTGCAGCAGCCAAGCAACACAGAAAAAACTATGGCCCCACCCCACCGTGCCAGCAAGATGTAGTGGGGGCCTGGACTCCCACTCTCAACAGGCTGTCAGGAGATGTTCACTACCCACTGCAGTGCTGTCAGAGGAGGCGAAGAGGGAGATAGGACTTTCATCCCTGTAGACAGCAATGAGCCTCCCTTCCACAGCATCAGTGGAGACGACATGGGAGCCTGGATTTCCACCCCCACCTGCAGCACCAAGGGGCTCTTCCTTCTCCCCCTGGAGTGTTCTAAGGTGATACCTAGTTGAAAGTCTGGACTTTCACTTCCACCCAGCAGTGACAAGGAATACCCCTCACATGTCAACTGGACTTCATCCCCACCTGGAAATAGCAAGATGGTACCCCTCCTTCCTCTACCATATGGTGTCAGAAGAAGCCACCTAAAACAGAAGGTTTAAGTAAGACCCAGAATCTCATAACATCACTGCCAAAATGTTCAGTATTTAATTGAATAATCACTTGTCATACCAAGAATGAGGAAGATACCAAACTGAGTGAAAAAAGATGATCCATAGATGAAAACACCAAGGTGACAGAGATGCTAGAGTTTTCTCACAAAGACTTTAAGGAGCCATCATGAAAGTGCTTCAGTAAGCAAGGATGAACATACCGCAAATGAAAAAGTACAGTCTCTGCAAAGAAATAGAAGACATAAAAACAAGCCAAATGAAAAGGTTAGAACTGAAAAGTACAATAACTGAGATAAAATATTCAGCAGATGGACTCCACATCAGAATACAGGGGACAGAGAAAAGAACCAATGAACCTGAAGGTAGAAAAATAGAAGTTAACCACTGTGAACAACAGTGAGAAAATAGACTGGTGGAGAGGGCGGGGGGGAGTAAAGAACCAAACCTCAGGGACCTGTGGGGCTCTAACAAAAGATCTAGAATGTGTGTCATCAAAGTACCAGAAGGAAAAGAGAAAGAGCTTGGGCTGAAAAAGTATTTGAAGAAATAATGACTGAAAACTTCCCAAATTTGGCAAAAGGCACAAACCTACAGAGTCAATAAACTGAGTAAACCCCAAACAAGAAAAAAAACAAAAAAATTCAGACCAAAGCACATCTAAGTCAAACTTCCAAAAACTAAAGACAATGAAAAAGTTGTGAAAGCAGCAAGAGAGAAACAAGGCCTTATCTATAAGGGGAAAACAATTAGAATGACAGCAGATTTCTCCTCAGAAACCATGGAGGGCAAGGATAAGTGGCAAACAGTTTTCAAAAGTCAACCCAGAATACTATTTCCAGCAAAAAAATATCCTTCAGGAATGAAGAGGAAATCAAGGCATTCTCAGATAAAGGAAAAATAAGAGAATTTGTCATCACTATAATTACCCTAAAAGAATGACTAAAGCAAGTTCTCTAAACAGAAAGGGAAAAGGAACTTTAGAACATCAGGGAGAAAGAAAGCAAAAATATGAGAAATAGACTTTCCTTCTTCTCTTCAGTTCTCAATCGTGTTTCATGGTTCAGCAAATGTTATAACTGCCCAAAGGTCAAGATTTACATAGAGGAAATATTTAAGATGATTATTTTGTAAATGGGCGAGGGCAAGTGAACATAAAGGGAGATAAGGTTTCTATACTTCACTTGAGCTGGTAAAATGCCACCACCAGTAGACTATGATAAGTTATGTGTATATAATGAAATACCAAGAGCAAGCACTAAAAATAATCTATACAAGTACAAAGAGATCCACTTAAAAACACTATTGACATATCAAAATAGAATTCGAAAAAGCATTTGCATAATTCTTAAGGAGGAAGGGGAAAAACAAATACATTAAAAACAAAATTGATGGAAAACAAAAAATAAAATGATAGACTTAAACCCTAATGTGTAAATAATTACATTATATGTAAATGGTCTAAATATACCAATTAAAAGATGAAAACTGGCAGAGTTGATTAAAAATCGTGACCTAACTATATGCTGTCTACAGGAAACTCACTTCAAATATGACAGTATAGATAAGTTGAATGTGAAAGGATGGAAGAAAGTAGGAGTGACTGTATTAATATCAGATAAAGTAGATTTCACTACAAAAAAATTATCAAAGAGGGACATTATATAATGATAAAAGATTCAATTAATTAAGTAGACATATCAATCCCAAGTGTGTGTGCCCTCACTACAGAGCTGCAAAATATGTGAAGAAGAAATAGATAGAAATGAAAGGAGAAATAGACAAATCCACAATTATAGAAGGACACTACAACACCCTTCTCTCAACAATTGATAGAGCAAATAGATGGAAAATCAGCAAGAATGTAAAAGAACACAACACCACCAAATCAACATTTGTAGAATATGCCACCCACTGAACTGAATGAAAATGAAAATACAACATGTCAAAATTTGTGTGATGCAGCTAAAGCCGTGATGAGAGGGAAAGCAGTAAATGCATACATGAGAAAAAAGAGAACATCTCAAGTTAATAATCTAAGCTCAAGATTATATCAAGAACTAGAAAAATATGAGAAAAATAAACCCAAAGCAAGGAGCAGGAAGGAAATAATAAAAAATAGAAAATGAAATTGAAAACAGAACAGTAAAGAAACCAATGAAACAAAGAGATGGTTCTTGGAAAAGATCAGTAAAATTGACAAACTTCTAGTAAGAATGACAATGAAAGGGAAAAGATACACTTACCAATCAGAAATGAAAAGACATACCACTACAGACCCTGCAGACGTGAAAAGGATAATAAGGGAATACTGGAACGATTCTACAATTCTACACACATAGATTTTTCAACTTAGATGAAACAGACCAATTTCTCAGAAACCCAAATTACCACAACTCACCTGGTATGAAATACATAATTTGAATAGCCCTATAACTTTTAAAGAAACTGAATTTGTAATTTAAAACTCCCAAAAAGAAATCTCCAGGCCGAGATGGTGTTAGTGGAGAATTCTTTCCATGTTTAAAGAAGAATTAAAACCTACCCTACCCAGACTTTTCAAAAAAATAGAAGGGAAGGGAGAATGACTTGATATATTTTATGAAGCTAGTGTTTCTCTGACATCAAAGCCACACGAGGTAGTATAAGAAAATTGCAAACCAATATCCCTCATGAATACAGACACAAAAAAATTTTAACAAAATATTAGTAAATAGAATTCAGCAATATACAAAAAGGAATTATGCACAGTGACCAAGTAGGATTTCTTCCAGGGATGCAAGTTTAGTTTAATATTTGAAAATCAATCAGTGTGATCCACCATCTTAACCAATGAAAGAAGAAAACTTGCATGATTGTATTAATTGTTGTAGAAAAAGCCTTTGAAAAATTTTGAACACCTATTCATGATATATATATATACATATAATTTGGATCCTCATTCAAACAAATTAGAAAGATTTGTGACATTAAAGAAATAATTGAAAATGTAAACACTGACCAAATATTTGATGATATCCATGAATTGTTACTTTTGTAAGATACAATCATGGTATTATGATTATGTAAAAAGAAAAGACCTCTTTCATTTTAGAGTCACCTACTGAAATGTTTATTCATTAAGTAAAATGTCTGGAATTTGCTACAAAATAATTTGGGAAAGGGAGGCAGATAAAAGTGTACATGAAATAAGTTTGCTGAAGCTAGATAATGGATTACAGAGGGTTATTGTACTATTCTCTCTCTCTCTCTCTCTCTCTCTCTCTCTATATATATATATATATATATATGTATGTATATATATATACATATATTTTAAACTCTTGGAAAAATAGGAAAAATGAAGAATTTCCTCAGCTTAGTAAAGAGCATCTGCAAAAACCCTGCATCCAACATTATACTTAATGGTGAAAGAGTGAATTCTTTCCTTTAAGATCAGGGACGAGTAAAGGGTGTCTGCTCTCACCACTCTTATTCAACACAGTACTGGAAGCACTAGACACTGCAATAAAGCAAGAATAGGAAATAAAAGGCATATGGATCATAAAGGAAGAAATAAAACTGTGCCTGTTTGCACATGATTGTCTGTTAGAAAATCCCAAGGAATCTACCAAAAAACTCCTAGAACTAATAAGTGAGTTCAGCAAAGTCAGAGGGTATAAGACCAACATACAAAATTCAATTATATTATTATTATTTTTGTAACTGGCTGGGACCAGGATCTGAATCTATGACCTTGGTGTTATAAGCCTGTGCTCTAACCAACTGAGCTAGCCAGCCATGCCTCAGTTGTATTTCTATATACTAGCAATGAACACAGACACCCGAATTAAATAAACAGTACCATGGACAATCACTCAAAACACTGAAATACTTAGGTGTAAATCTAACAAAACATGTACAGGACTTGTATGGGGAGAACTATACAACACTGCTGAAAGAAAAAAAATTTAATATCTAATTAATGGAGCGATGCCATGTTCATGGGTTAGAAGACTCAGCGTAGTAAAGATGACAGTTCTCTCCAAGTTGATGTACAGGTTTAGTGCAATTCTTGTCAAAATCCCAGCAAGATTTCTTTGTAAACGTGGACAAGTTAATCTAAAATTTATAAGGAAAGTAAAGGAACTAGTATAGCTAAAACTATTTTGAAAAATAATAAAATGGGAGGACTCAATCTACCAATATCAAGACATACTATATAACTACAGTAATCAAGACTGTGGTATTGGAGGGATAGACACATGGATCAGTGGAACAGAACAGAACCAACAAAGAGAGTCACAAATCTGCCCAACAGATTTTTAGCAAAAGCAATTTAGTGAAGAAAAGACAGCCAGTTCAACAAATGGTCCCACAGCAACTGGACTTTCACAGGCAAGAGAAAAGAGAAAACCAAACCCTTCAACCCGAGTCTCACATCCTATACAGAACTAACTTGAAATGGATTGTGGATTTAAACATAATACATAAAACAATAAACAATAAAGAAATAGGAGAAAAACTTTGGGATTTAGGGCTATGCAAAGAGTTCTAGACATGATACTAAAAACATGACCCATAAAATGGAAAAATAGTAAATTGAACTTTATTAAAATTTAAAAATGTTTGCTCTGTAAAAGACCCTGTTGAAAGGATTTTTTAAAAGCTACAGACTATTAAAAAAATATTGCAAACCATATATCTGACAAAGGACTAAAATCTAGAACCTGTGAAAAACTTTCAAAACTCAACAGTGAAATAATCCAATTAGAAAATGGGCACAAGATATGAAGAAACATTTCACCAAAGAGGACATACAGTGGCAGACAGCACATGAAGGTGCTGGCCTTTAAGGAAATGCAAACGAAGAGCACAGTGGGACACACCATACACCTGAGAGAATGACTAAAATAAAAAATAGTGACAATACCAAAAGCTGCCAGATGCTAAGAAATCGGATTCCTCATACATTGCTGGTGGAGAGTTAAAATGGTACAGCCACTCTGGAAAGCAATTTGGCAGCATCTAAAAAATGGAACCTGCCGTTACCATACAATCCAGCAGTTGCACTCATGGACATTTAACCAGAGGAATGAGAATCCAGGTTCGTGCAAAAACCGTGCACAAATGTTTATACTATCTAATAGCCAAAAACTGGAAACAGCAATAACAAGGAGCACTGGTCAGAAGTCAGAGAGAGCACTGGTCGGAAGTCACAGGGAGCACTCCTCAGCCACAACAAGGAGCACTAATCAGCCACAACAAGGAGCACTACTCAGAAGTATCAAGGAGCATTGGTGAGCAGTCACAAGGAGCACTGATCAGAAGTCAAAAGGAGCATTGGTCAGCAGTAATGGAGCACTGATCAGCAGTCACAGGGAGCACTGATGGGCAGTCACAGGGAGCTCTGGTTAGCAGTGATGGAGCTCTGATCAGCAGTAGTGGAGCACCGATCAGCAGTCACGGGGAGCTCTGATCAGCAGTAGTGGAGCACTGATTGGCAGTCACGGGGAGCTCTGGTCAGGAGTAATGAAGCACTGATCGGCAGTCACAGGAAGCACTGGTTGGCAGTAATGGAGCACTGGCCAGCAGTTACAGGGAGCAACATTTTGCTGTGCCCAGCTACCTGGATACTCCTCCAGGGACTGCTGAGTGAGAAAAGCAATTCCAAAGGTTGTGTGCTGTGGGAATCTGCTCACTAACATCCCTGAGATGACAAAGGAGAGCAGAGGAGTGGTTTTGGGGGGCTGAGGAAGTGGTGGGGTGGGCAGGGGTCATGGCTATAAAAGGGCAGCAGGAGAGGCTTGGTGGCGATGGTGTTCTGCATCTGGATGGTGTCAGTGTCAGGACCTGGCTGGGATCTTGGACTATAGTTCTGTGAGATGTTACCCACAAGTCCTGTTAAATGTGCTGGGAGAGGCCCTATTGTAATCACCCTGAAGGTCCTTCTGGGGACAATGTCATGGCCCTCCCGAGCACATTGTCTGCAGGACCGGGGACACCCCTGGCGGTTGCTGGTTCCCTGAGACCCCTTCCCACCCACCTGCCAGACAGAGCAGAGGCTCTGGCTCTTTCCAAACTCTCCAGTTCCAGCCCTTGATGTCTCCCTCTCACCATCCAGGGACCCCACCTGCCACGCCCAACCTTGGTTGTCAATGGATAGTATGGCCTCTGACCCTGTCCTGGGAAGAAGAGTGCAGGAAAGATGGGGTGATCCCACTATAGGAGCCCTTCCTGGGATCCCCCACCCTCCCCAGCCTGCTCAATCGCACGCTCCAGTCACCCTCCTACTAGGTCTGGCCCAGTGGTGCAGACGCCTGCACCCCCTGCCCACAGGCAGAGCCACAGGCCGAAGCTCAGACTCCAGTCTTGTCCCAGTGCCCCCTGCTGAGCCCACTCCACCCTTCCTCAGGCTGGACACTCTTTGTGGTGGAGTCCCTGCAGAGCCTGCTTTCCTGGAGCCCATCCCAAGCCCTCCACCCATTCCAGGAGCCTCAACCCCGCTGTGCTATCCGCTGGTGGAGGGTGCGGTCTGGAAACCTTCATCCTGCTCATGGGTCTGCCTGGGTTCCGGTTGTGCTCGGGGTGGGGTCTCCCTGGCACCTGTCAGTCCAGCTGGGGGCCCCCTGGGTGGCCCCTGTCCATGGGTGGCCCAGACTCAGGAGACAGAGGCCGGACGGGCCCCTGGTCCCAGGAGCGAGGACCCAAGACTCCACAGCCTTGGGCCCCTCTGAGGAGCTGCAGCTCAGCAGGTGGAGGAGGGAAAGGGGTCCAAGTGGGGTCCAAGTGGGCTCCAGGCTGACATGCTGCCACTCTTGCAGGTGGGTCCGAGGAGAGCACTACAGGTACAAGTTCAGCCAGCCCGGGGGGAAGCACGCAGCAGAGGGCAGGTGGTGGGTCCGGAGGAGGATTGGCCCCTACTTCCCCCCGCTCCGTCTGGAGGACCTGAGGAGTTACTTTAGGTCACGGGAGTGGCCTTATGTGGAAACCAATGCAGACACTGGGCGTGTACCATGAAATAAAGGCCAGAAGACCCCCAGCCCGGGCTGCTCTGAGTGAAATCTCAGCCGTGTGCTTCTGGGACATGGCCGTGGGTCCCTTGCTGTGCCGCCTGGACACTCCAAGCTCGGCACCGCCACTGAGAAAGAAACATGGACAGGAGGGTGTTAGAGACCCCCCGGGGGGGCAGGGAGGCAAGTGGGGGTCAGCAGGGGTCCCAGCTGGCAGTCTGCACTGTCTCCCCTCACCAGGGTGGCTCACAGGCCCTGCCCACCTGTGTCCTAGTCACTTCAGTCTCCAGTCATTTGGGTGAAGCCCAGGAAGTCCCTGGGCCCTGCCCATCCCCCAAGAGCCATCCCCTGTGTGTAGCCCCACAAAGGGGCAATCCCTGTCCCCTGACATCCCACCTATCCCAAGTGCAGGTCCTCTTCTCACACAGGCTCCTGCCCTGCCGCTGCCAGGACCACTCTGCCTGGCTGTGCCGCCAGCAGGCATCTGGACAATGGTCATCACATGGACACCCCCTCAGCTGAAGCCTCGGCTGTGGGCCTGGTCCTGGGGTCTCTTGGGTCCTTGACATCCTGGCGGTCTGGTTTCTGTTCACCCCTCAGCTGTGTTCACAGCCAGGCCCTAACCCCCAGCAGCTGAGGCCGTATCACGTGTCCAGCATGACTGAGCAGCAGAAAATCTTCATTCCCCCACTGATGCAAGACACCTCCTCATCTGGGATGGGGTGTGGGGGGAGATGTGAAGTCCCCCTGTCCTCACCCTCATCTCCCTAAGCCCCATGCACACGCATGCATGTGCACACACAAGCCACACTTGGGCACGCACATCCCAGACTGGCCTGGGCTCCATTTCATCCCAAGGTGGTCAGCGTTTGTGAGGCGTGGACAGACGGCCCTTGTCCTCTCCTTGGGACCCCCCCAGTGTCCCAAGGTTTGGGGTCCCACTGACCTCGTGGCCCCCAGGGCCCTGAGCGATGTACCCCCTTCCCCTCAGCTTGTGACCATGTCCCCAGATCATGCTCCTCAACCTGCAGAGGTGGGGATGGCAGAAGGGTCAGCCCTGGCCAGGGCACTGGGGCGGGGCTCAGTCCAAGAACACCGCCCTGGGCCACCAGCCTCTAATAGGGACTCTGAGGTGGGAAAGTGGGTGTGGCCCAGAGTGTTTGTTGCATCACGTTTGACGTGAATGAGCCAGACTGCCTGCAAGGATGTCATCCCTGCAGGAAGAGCAGCTGCAGCCCTAGGTGGAACACACCTCCCTGCGCCCGGCCGGGGTCCCTGGAGAAGTCGGGAACCGGCCCCACACGGGGCAGCAGCCCCTCCCTTCTCCCAGGACTGGCGGGGGCGGCCATCCCCCCCCCCCCCGACCGTCCCCGGCGCCTGGAGCCACACTGCGGAGGGTCCTGGCGGGGACAGCAAGGTGGTTCAGGCCGGGGAGGCTGGGCGGAGGGGTTACAAGCTCAGTTCTGTGTGGAGTCCCCTCAGCCTGCCTGGAGGGCCAGCCGGCCCAGGTGCGAACAGAGAGACCCTGTTCCGGCTCCGGGGAAAACAGGGTGCCCTGTGTCTGTCGAGGGACAGACGGGCCTCAGAGGGCAGAGCTGGAGCCAGCAAGTCTGCCCACGGCAGCCACCACAGCCTGGCCAGCCCTTCCCAGGGCTGTGCTGTCGGTAGGGGGCACGTGGGGCTGCCCCCACTGGGCGGGCTGGAGCCGGATGGTGGGGCCCAGCCTGGGGGACAGCTGGGAGGGCATCTTGGGCAGGAACAGGAGTTGCTGGAACAGCCCAAGGGATCCATCATCTGGGAGAAGCTGGCACCAAGGGGGCCCCACAGGCCTCTGTGTGGGCAGGGGGAGGCCCAAGGAGACGCCAGCCCTCCAAGCCCCCCACCCGGACCCTCCACATGCAGCCACCCTGCCGGGACCTCAGTGGGTCCCGACAGCCCCTCCTGTCCTGGCTGTATGCTCTAGCAGAGGAAGTACCCAGACTCAGCACCCCCAACTGAGCTCCCAGACCCTGACAACCACCAATCTGCTTCCTGTCTGCGGCTCTTCTGGGCATTTCGTGGAAGTGGAATTGCACGATACATGGTCTTTTGCATCTGGCTTCCCTCATGCAGGGTCTCATGTCAGGTCCATCCTCATGTGGTGTCTAGTGCTTCATTCCTCTCTGAACAAAAGCTACTCCCCTGCGTGGGGGCCACACCGTGTTTACCCAGATGTCAGCGGGTCAGCGTGGTTTGGAAATAGCCCCAAGGGAGTCTGCAAGAGGCAACGTGGACAGAGCTGGGGTGCCCCTGTGTGGGGTGAGGCCCAGGGTCTGCCAGTGACTAGACAGAGCCATAGTGGACATGTGGGGACTGAGAGACCTTGAGTGGGTGTCCCCCACGTTGGGTCATTTGGACTCCTGAGAACCAAGTTGTAACCCCCACATGCCCAGCCCTGTGGTAGGAGAGGCCTGCCCAGCCCAGGAACAGGGGCAGGGGAGGGGGCCCACAGGGAAGAGGGGCACTAGGGCTGGTGCCTGGAAGGTGGCATCCATGCCCCAAGGAGGACGAGGGATGGTGTGTGAGAACCCGGCCTGTCATCCACACCCAGGGTTGCAGGGGATGGCGGTCTGGGGGGCCTCGAGACAGTCCTGGTGGCCTGAGGCCTCTGCCCAGTGAGTGTCGGTGCCCCAGAGCCATGGGGCACTGGAGGGTCATCCAAGTCTGATTGGGCTTGGGGAGGAAATGGGGAGGAGGAAGGGAGCCTGCGGCAGCACCCCACCACACCCCTGTTAGGGGGTGGCCCAAGAACACCGTGCGGCTGGCCTCCATCCCAGGCCCTCTCACCCTGCAGGGCTTGGTGTCCCGGCAGATGTGGATTTGGGCTTGAACCTCCAGCAGGAGCACAGGCATGAGGCCAGATCCTGGGTTGGCCCTGGAGCTCCCCGCACCCGCTCTGCAAGGGACAGGGTTGGGCACTTGGCCTGGGGCGCAGGTGGCCCCTCCTCCCCTCCTTCCACCTGCCCTAGAAGCTGCAGGGGGAGAAAGCGCTCAGGCCCGCGGGAGCCCCTTCCTCTGCTCACCTGTGCCTCCCGCATCATCCCATGCACTCGCATGTCTGGGCATAAACACACACACACACGCAGCTGCCCGGTGATGTCCACCCCAGGGCCCTGGGCAGGCACAGGCTGGGGTGCCCCTGCCCCCTGCACCAGCTCTCTGAGTAGCAGGGCATTGTGGGGTCCCAGAGCCAAGGCCCAGCAGCAGGAGGCCACCCCTGACTCCCACCTCGGTTGTGTGTGGCTGAGGTCCCCACCTGCTGGGCAGGGGTCACGGGGCCCAGGCTGTCCCCACATTTGCTGGGTTCTGGGCAGCAGCATGGCTGGTAGACTTGGATCCTGGGGCAGCCGGCAGTGGCCCCATCATTTGAGGAGGGGCTCAGGGCACAGGAGCCATGTCACCCACCTGCCCTACCCTGTGCAATTGCTCCCAGTGGGGTCTTGTCCCTGCGTGTGCGGCCCCACCCCATGAGGCGCAAGATGTGGGGGGCTTGAGGGGAGCATCTCGGTTCTGCTTGGTGGAGACGCGGGTGCCGCGTCAGAGTCGAGAATGTGCAGGACGGGGAACCTCATGTTGGGTGCAGCTCTGTCCACCCCAACACCAGGAGTCGGCCTGAGCACAGTAGCCCCAGGATAGGGGACGGCTGCATGGGCCCTGCTGCTCCTGGACCCCAGGATCCACCCCCAAGAGGGAATGAGCAGGAGAAGGGAGTGGGATACCCTAACACATCTGAGGGGCTAGGAATTTAAGAAAATCACCCCTTGTGACTCCCTCCTGTCTCTCTGGAGCCTATGCCCCCTGGAAATCTCAGGAGCCTGGCACTCTTGGAGACCCCCCCACCCATCAACACAGCGGGGACGGCCCATGCTGGGAGGTACCACGGTGTGGGCGTGCTGCTGCTGACCTGGCCTGTGAGGTCAGAGACCAGAAAAGGGGGGTGAGTGAGGGGGTGGGGCATGGCCTCCACACAGCCCCTGCCCCGTGCAAGCCGGACACGCCCCTGGCTGACACACACCTGGACTAGGGGGGCTGCTCGGGGGTTGGCTGCCGAGGCCTGGGCCACCTCAGCACCCAGCCAGGCCGGGACCCGGTGAGGAAGCTGCAGAGCTCAGCCTTGCAGCCGCTCACATTCCAGAAAGTTCCTGAGCCCAGGGGCTGAGATATCAGCGCCCCGTCCTGCAGCCACCCAGAACACACTCCACCCCGTGGGCCCCATGTCAGGGACTGTCCATCAAGGTGAGACCCATGGCCATCGCCAATTACTGCCAGGAGCCCACCTGGGCCCCGTGGCCTGACCAGCAGCGTGGGGCTGGGAAGGCAGAAAGAGCTTCCAGCAGGAGGACGTGCAGATCACAGGAGCTGCAGTGGCCTGCCGCCCCCTCCTCGCGGGGATGGCGGGGACTCAGGACTCAGGTCACCCAGTCACGTCCACTGGTCTGTGGCTGTGCTGGGGTGGCCACACGCAGAGCAGTGGGCTCAGCTGGCACCCTGGGCCACTGCTGTCCCATCCTTGCTCCTGCTCATGCCATTCAGGAGTCGCAGGCCAATCATGCCAGAGGCTCTGGGCTGCTGCTGCTTTCTAAGAGCCTTTTCACTCCATTAAAGATGATCAAGCACATTTCAGCATCTGCCAAGGCCAAGCACATGCTATCGCCCTTCAGCCCAGTTCAGACTGAGGACCTTCCGGTGTCAGGCTGCCCCTGAGCGCCCAGCACAGCCCCGCTGGCCAGGCCCGCCAGCAATTGTACTGGGGTTCACATCTGTCCCCACTGGAACTGCAGCCCTGTGGTCTTGGGCCGCCCTTTCCTCCATGAATGAGGCTCCCAGACAGACGGGAATCATCCTGCTCAAAAGGTTTGGGAAAACGGCCTCCAGCCTGCCGATGGGGGCTTGAGGGGGTGAGCAGGACAGGCTGGAGCCCAGACCAGTAATGCACCAGTTCAGGCGCACCACAGGCTGTCACCTGGGCACACACAGTGGAATATTACTCAGCCATGAAAAGGGATGAAGCA